AATTTCTCTCAGCTGGAGCCTAATCGCTGGTATGCCCTCCCCAGTCTGCTGCTTCCTATCTTGAAAGCCTCGCCTTTCCAATTTTGCAGCTTTCCACCATTTATTCTGCCCCCCCCCCCCCGGATGGCACAGAATCTCGCTCCCTGTTTTATTAAAGTCCCCAAAGCAATAATTTCTCATAAGACTTTGCCTGATCAATTCATGTCCGCCGCCTGTTTCTTCCTCTCTCTTCAGCCACCCGCCACCCCCCCCAATCTCAATTTCTCATTTTCAGAATTTGGTTCTCCCGGGGGGCGCTGGGAGGGAAAAATAATACGAAGGGAAAGGAATTTATTAAAATGCAAAGTGGTGGGATGCTTAAAAGGCTTAACTTTTCGGCTCTCCCTTCTTCCAGCCCAGAGGACAAACACCCTAAGATTTTTTTGGGGGGGGACAGAAGGACAGCTGTGCCAGAGGTGGCAAGTTAAGAATAGCAACTGGCGATGCCAAAACACGTGAGGGGAAGACGTGCCCACCTGGAGAAATTCACAATACGCCCCCGCTAACCACCTGGCAAGGCTGAAGTGTGGAGGCAGGCAAGGATGTGCCCCAGCTGGAAGGACGTATTAAACCAGGGGCACGCATTGGCACACGTGGCAGGTGCCAGGAGCATGGAATTGGAGGAGGGGGGCTCGGAACCAAACCCCCCAGTTTAGGGATTGCTCCATCCTGAGCCCCTGGCTTCACCTGGGCAGGCAGAGGTCTCATGGCAATGCAGCCAAGAGGACTAGAAACTTGAATCTTCCAAAACAGAATCAGGAAGGGAATAAACAAGAAAGGCAGAGCTGGGGAGGGGGGTTTGTCATTGTTCTTAATTGATGGCGCTTTTCATCCTTTTGGTCAAATTCAACTCAGGATCTTTGGTGGAAGAAAAACAGATTTTTTTTCCAAAGGGTAGTGAACACCGCCCTCTGGTGGCCGGAAATGGGATGGCCCCCGTTGTCCCTTTTGCTCCACAATTGCAGGCAGATCTAGCTATGGAGCCAGGTTGGTTCTGCAAATTTGGAGCGGTTTGCACGCTCTCAGCAACCTTGCAAGGTGGGGCGGGTTGAGAGTAAAGGGCACGAGCTCCCCCTGGCACCCCAGGTCTGATTCCAAGGCTCAGAAGCGCTGAAGCATTAAAAGTGGGCCTGGGGGAGGGCGTTTCTGCCCTGAGAAGGGGGGGGGCATCCCAGCTGGCAGTGGCTCCCCATCTCCATTTCTGCCTGGAAGAAAACTCCATCTTCAAAAGGAGCATCTGGGGAGGCCCCCTTGTACAGTCTCACACCCATTTTTCTCACTCCTTGCCACCTCCTTTAAAAGGAAGAAATTGGCATCGCTAGTCCTCATGAATCTGCTGCTGAACCCTGGGCCTCTTCGTAGCCAAAAGAAGGGAGTTTTCAGATTTCAGCCTTGGCTACAATTTCTGCTTTCAATTACTCTGAAGTATTTGAGCAGCCTCGTTCAAAGGGAGGGAATAAATTAAATTCCCCTGCAATATTCTTACGGAATTCCCCTCTGAAGGCTTGTTGGTGCTTTTCTCACTTCAAGGGGGTTGGCAGATAAGGAACAGCCTCCTGTTAAAGTAGGAAATGGGTGTCCAGCTGGAGATTAGTTTAATCAGTGTGTTCGTGTGTGCGCGTGCAAATAACAGAAGCAAGTCAAGTTTCTAGACCTTAGGAAGCTGCTCGGATCACCTCTCTCATTTTGTACAGGAACGTTGAAGGGTTCTGCTTTTGGGGCAGCCCTTAAAATGCCCCAACCGGAAGCCGGAAAGAAACCCAATTATGAACTGTGTGCATCTGTGTGTTTGTGCGTGGATACTAAACATTTACTTTTAACAGCTGCTGATTGAAAAAAACAGATTTTTCTCCTCTGAGCTAGACCCTTGGGGGGGGGGCTCCTGCCTTCCAACAGTTAGACTGAAAAACAAGACTGAACTGTAATCATGATGGCGCAGACTCTCTTGCAAAATCCCCCCCTCTCTTTTCTCCTCACCCCCCCACCCCCCACTCACTTCCTTTTTGCCTGTTGTGGTTTCCTTCCACTCTTCCTCTTTTCAACTTCCGGCTTGAAAGTTTCAGGCCAGGCTGGGTAAGTAGAGCCTTCAAAGCCCCGCCTTTGGCAGGCAGAAGACCCCAGGCCCTTAAACAGGGATGGAAGAGCCTGTGTGCACAAGGGGTGTGTGTGTGTGTGTGTGTGTGTGTGTGTGTGTGTGTACACGGACCATCCTAATTTTGCCCTTGCTTCCTTCCCTGAGCACCTTGAGAAGAGATTGGCTTCCTCTGCAGAGTTTTGTCGGCCTCTTTTTCTTTGCCTATTGAGAACTTTTCAGAGAGAAAAGGAGAAACTGGCAGGGAAGTGGCCAGAATTTGTGCTGTTGTGTTGCTTTTTGAGAAACCACATTGCTGACAAGGAGGGCTGAAGCACACAAGTGTCTGGTCAGTTTCAGTCTCTTTGGAAGCAAGTCAGATCCAATTGCTTTGGGACAACCCTCCCCCCACCATCAGATTTAGGGTTAAAATTGGGGGGGGGGAATCATGCAGTATTAGAAATTCAACTCAACGGTCACTCTGTCCTGGGGTCTTGCTTCCAGGTGATTTGGGGGTGCGCAGTTGTAAAGAAAACCTTGAAGAGCCCACCTAAAGGGAGAAGCATCTCCAGCCTCGTGTGGCTCATGTGAGTGAGCCAAGCTGCACAAGGCCACAATCAGGGTTTCAAAGTGAAGAGGGCAACTGTGTTCCCTTCAAGCAGGGATCTCTAGCTATGCTCACAAACTTTGTCTCTCCTCCTCCTCCTCCTCCTTCTCCTCCTCCTCCCTGCCCTTAGCGCCATCAGCCCCACTCATAAACTCCCTGCAAGCAGAGACCCCATCCAGATGACCTCACAGGCACAACCGGCCAGCCCAAAGTGCCTGGCATCAAACTAACCCTGACATCCCTCTGGGGTCACGTTTTGACATCCCCAGGGCGGTTTTCGAAAGCTCCCCCGCTTTCCAGGTAGGAAGGAGGGGGCTCCTCCAGGCCTCTAGAGGCCACCTGGATGGACCCCGGACAGCCAGGAGGACAGGCGCGGACACGTGTCTGCCCAGAGAGTGAGCAGAGGCCTCAGACGAGACCTTCTGGCCGCCGAGGTGCGGGCACCCGGGTGACGCGGCGCGCCAACTATGTGGCCCGTCCAGTTTTCTCGTCTGGCCCCCGGCGGGAGCTTCGCCGGCGTCTCTCGGCTGCCTCGCTCCGGGGGTGCGCCGACTGTTGCTCCGGCGGGTCAGCTGATGGGGCGGGCTCGCCGCGGGAGGAAGTCTTGGTGGGAGCCGAGCGGGGGGACCTTCCCGCGGCTCTTCTCCCGCCCTCGGGGGTGCAAAGCCGGCTGGGGCGGCTCCGGTGCGCCAGCAGAAGCGCGGGGCTCCGGTGAGTGCGCGCCGCGCGCTTTGGGGTGGCCGGGGAGGTTTCTGGGGGGAAGGGGATGGAGCCCCGTCCTTTCCTTTGGGGAGGGGGGGGCTTCGTTGGCCCCACTCTCGTCCCCCCCCCCGTGTTGCAACCGGCTCCAGGTCTGAGTCGCCGGGCTGGCGAAAGAAAAAACCGGGGAGGTTGCCGCTTGCCAGAAAGTTGGGTTTTTGCGCGCCTGGAGACGCGCGCTCTTCGTTCAAGGCTGAAGGCGGCTTGGAGAGGCTCAGGCGTGCCTCTGGGCATACGCAAAGCGTGCTTCTTCCTTCCCCCTCCCTGAGCACCCCCCCTCCAGACGTCCCAGGGCGGGGCACCCCTTCCGCACCCCTTTTCCCCCCCGAGGACGCATCTTTAAGGAGACAGATGCGTGCCAGGCGCGCGTGAGAAACGGGCTTGGGTTTCGGCCCCGGGGCGGCACGTGCCGAGCTCCGCCGCCTCCAGCGTCTTGGTTCCCCAACTTGGGGTGGGGGGCTTGGGGGGGGCAGCTGCTTTGAAAGCCAAGAGGCTCACGCCGGATGCCCCTTAGCAGGCGCCCACTCCGGTTCCCTCCCTCCGTTCTGGACTCTCCTTCAGCTCTTGAACCGGGCTGCCTGCAAGCCACTGATCACGGTCTTTGGGGGCACAGCCCTCTGCAGATGTTCAGAGGCACCCTTTTCCTCTCTCTCTCCTCCAAGCCTTCCAGGGAGAGAAAGGAGAGTCCACCTTTAATCCTCGGAGTCTCTGGAAGAGTAAGAAAATGTGGACCAGACGTAGTGGCATCGCTGTTCACCGCCCCCCCCCCCCCAAGTTTTACTCCTCCATCTCTGGCTGGGTCTGCATTGTCCTGGCTTTTTCAGCCATTTAAGAGCCAATGCATCTCCCTGCTACAGGGTGCAGCTCAAAGCAGGAAGCCCCCAGGGCACCTGGAGCAGGGAAAGGGGGTAGCCAGGAGGACGAAAGGGGGAGGAAAATGCAGATATTTTTTTTTTTAAAGCAGGCAGGCTCATCAAAGCCACTCCTGGCAAAAATCCTGCATTGGGTACAGGAAAATAAAAGGCTCCCATCTCTTCTTCAATCTTTCTACCAGGGCCCACTCAGGATGGGCCAGCTGTGGTGACACACAGGTCTCTTCCCCAAGCGAAAAGGAACAAAGAGCGGGGAGGGAGAGGCCGGAAGGGGAACTGCTTGGTACACAGAGGAAGCAAACCAGCAGAATGGGCAAAAAATATACTTTAAAACCGAGCTTTACTTAATGTGGCATCCATTTCAGGCACTTCCTCGATGTCAAAAACCAGATTTGAGGCAGCAGACAAAACTGATTTATTTATTTATTTATTTTAATAATAATAATAATAATAATAATAATAATAATAATAATAATAATAATAATAATAGTCTTGTTTCCTGCTGCAAAAAAAAAAGGAGATTGCAAGGGTTCCTCAACTTTTTGGACGGGGTTGGAAACGTCCCCTTGGTGGCTACCCGCTCAGAGCCGGGGGTCTCCCCCCCTTGTGTCCCCCCTCCTCACCCTCCTTCTCCCCCTCCCCCGCAGCCGCGATGGAGGCCTTCAACTCGCGCAAACTGGCCCTGCAGGTGGAGAAGAAGCTGCTCAGCCACGTGGCCACCAAGTCCACCGTCACCATGTTCATCGACGAGACCAGCGGGGCGGTGCTGGATGACCTCTACCGCATCTCCAAGGAGCACACGCAGGACCGGTCGGCCTCCCAGAAGGTCATCAAGAACCTGGTGAAGGTGGCGGTCAAGGTCTCCGTCCTCTTCCGCAACGGCCGCTTCAGCCAGGCCGAGCTGGCCGTGGCCGAGGACTTCAAGCGCAAGCTGCGCCAGGGCGCCATGACGGCCGTCAGCTTCCACCAGGTGGCCTTCACCTTCGAGCGGGCCGTGCTGGTGCAGCTGCTGGAGGAGTGCCGGGACCTGCTGCTCCGGCTGGTGGAGAAGCACCTGACCCCCAAGTCCCACGGCCGCATCCGCCACGTCTTCGACCACTTCGCCGACGCCGAACTGCTGGGCCGGCTCTACAGCCCCGGGAGCCCCTTTGAGCCCCACCTGGAGAGGGTCTGCCAGGGGCTGAACCAGCTCATGGACCAAGGGAAGCTGTGACTCCCTCCGGGGGGGGGAGACCTGTGGGAGGGGAGGGGGGTGGTCTCTGGGTCAGCCGGTGGAACTCACAGCCACTTCAGGCTTCCGCCAGTTCCATGCTTGGGACTTCATACCGGGGACATTTTAAAGGAGGGGGTTTCAAATTCCTGGAAGGAAGCAACCCCCCCCCCCTGAGCTAGCTTTTGTGGTCTAAGGACTCAGCAGGTTGTCTTTGCAATGGATCGATGAGGACTAGAAGCTTAGAATGGAAGCTTGGCTCCCTCAGCTGGATGAAAGTGTCAAAGGATGTGGTTTTTTTTTCATGTCTTGAATGGGGGAGGGGGATTGTGGTCAGTTGGGAGAGAGGGGAAAGTGGAAAATCCTTTTCTTCCTTTTTGCTTGGAAAGTGCCGGCTCTGGCATCGGCTGAGCTGAAACTCAATAGCCAGACCCTGCTTTATGCCCTCAAGGGGACCCCCGTTTCCCTTTGGCCCGGAACTGTCTGGAAAGGTGGGGGAGGGGAAGTGCTTTTCTGAGCCTCTGGATATTATTGAAATGGATTCCTAGGTTGGCTTTCAGGGTGGGGGGAACTCAGAAGAGCCCCCCCCAGACACACACCTCCCATCTCCTTCCTACCTCTGTCTTTGGAACTTTTGTCTCAGGGAATGCAAAAATTGAAAATACACTTATTTTGGTTTTTCAAGGGCTGTGCTTCTGGGTTTTTTTTCCTCTTGGGGAAAAAAAAGGCCACTGCCTCAGATCAGGGACTCATCAGGAGAGACAACAGGCACCCTCAAGCAAGGAAAGCCCTTCTCTGGAGCCACCACTGCAGGAGTGTCGGGCAGGTAACCGGATCCCGCTCAGATCAACCTGAGCTGACCGAGGGAATCACTCAAGAGATGCGGCCGGGAGACTTCTGGGGACGCTGAAGTGGGAGGGGGATTCCTGGGGCTGCTGGCGACCCCCAAGGCATGTTTTTTTGGGGGGGGGGGAGCCCTGCTTGAAAACATTCAGACAACCGAGCACGGCAGCAGGCCCAAGTCGCAAAACCTGTTTAATCAGAGAATAGGGGCCACAGAAGACGGAGGGTGGGTGGGGGGGGGGGAGGGAAGCGCTGCTCAGTAGCCTCCCCTCTGGCCCATACTCCACAGCTCTTCCCAGGGATCTGCCCTCTGGGGTGCTCGGCATGGGCCCGAACCCAGCTTGGGAGGGCAGACGGAGGGCACTTGAGGCAATAAATACCGGGGAAGGGGAGAGAGGATGGGATGGGGGGGGGCTGAAATGAAGCAAGGGATCCACTCGGATGTCCATCGTCCTGGCCGACTGGCAGGGGGTGTCCAAGGAAAGCAGAACTGAAGCCAGCGTTGGCGAGGAGGGGTCCGCTGCTCCAGGGGTCCCTTCGGGCGGCATCCGTTCCTCCCCGTAGCACGGCGGGGGTCCGGGTGATGCCGGTGGCCTTGGGGGGGGGGGCTCAGAGCTTGAAGATTTCGTCCTCCTGGTCCAGCAGAGCATCGGCACGGGCGATCCTGGTGAGGGGCACGGGGCCAAGGACCGCCCGCTGCTGGCTCCGGGGGGAAGACTCGCCCTGGTAGGAGCCCGAGGTGGAAGGCGTGGGGCTCACTCCCGCTGCCTCCCCCAAAATCCTGCAGGGGGGGGAAGAGAGAGAGAGAGAGAAGAATGACACCAGGTGTCAGTGGGGGCCGGGGAAGACCAGAAGTGCCATCCTGGCTTCTTGGGGTGGGCAAACTTCAAGAAAACACCTTGAGCTGAGTGGATGAACTGAGCGGCACAGATTGCGAACCTCCAGAGCGAGGGGCACTCTACTGCCAAGCCACCATCTTGGTTGCCCGACTGTCCATAGTAATAGCTTTACTTGGTGCCGCCTGTGTTTATTTTGTACCGTCTTGGTTGTTTTAATAGTTTTTAAACCTATTGACTATTATCTCAGGTTACTTCTTGAGCTGGGCGGCTGTAGAAATTAAACCAAATGTCTAAAATAAAAATTCCACCGGGGTCGGAGGGAGACCCAGGAAGCTGCTACATTTCCCCATTAGCGGTTTTTAAGAGTCCTTGTCTGCAACGCTGCTCTTGTTGGGACATGTGTGTCTTTTTGCAAGAATGTAAAAACACACACAAACGTCTGAGCATGGGCTGGAGGGAAGCTGTTCAGAGCAAGGGCGCCCCCTGGTGGCCCACATAGAGGCCTGAACAATGAGCCAGGTTTAATAAAAGGTGAGCCTCACAAACATTAATATCCTGCCGGCCTGGAATTACCTGGTGGTGCCCCATCCATGCCCGGCTCAGGTCTTCCCTCCTTACCTGTTTTTTAGGTAGTGAACATATTAAAAAGCTGCGGTCAGCCTTTCCTCTCCCAAGCAGACACTTCCACACTTCTGCCTCCAGAGAAGAGAAGGATTCAAATTATTCATTTCCCCCATGCAGCTTGGCTCACTTGCGCCGAGCTACCTAAAATAGTGTTCTGTGCAAGCAGCCTGGACTTGCACTGCCTGCATGTAGAGACACACACACACCCCGTTTCCCTTCTGCTTCCTGCAAATCCCCCCCCCCACTCACTCACCCGCTCTCCCCTTCGCGCAGCTTCTTGACCGCCACTTGCTTGGATCGGCGGATCTCGGAATCCAGTTTGAAGAGGAAATCGGCAGCCGAGAGGTCGTGTTTGGGGACCGATCCCCCCGAAGAGCCGTTCTTCCGGGGCTGCTTCTGCTTCTTGGTCGATTCGGGTGGGAGGGCCTCCCCTCCCTTCTCTTCTTCCTCTTCCTCCTCCTCATCCTCAAAGTTCAGTCCGTTGGACAAAACTTTGGGCTTGGTCGGCACCGGGATCAAGAGAGTCTTTTTGAGGAAGATGGAGTCATTGGTGTACAGCCGGTTGGCCCGCTTGATCTGCTCCGTCTGGAAAAGGAATGGAGAAGGCTGCAAGGTGGAAGGAGGACAAAGCAAGCTGCTAGTCCTCATCGGTCAAAAAAATAGGCCCTGAGCAGACGCAGCATCCCTTGGCCCTCTCTGCCAAATTTTAAGTCGGTGACCTTCGGATTGTAGAGCCCAAGTCCCCTGGCTGATTTTAGGGGCAACATTTTGGAGAGAATCTGCACGGGCAGTCTCTGACCCTGTGGTGCTGGGCCACCTGCTGTGGCTTATGGGAGCTGTGGCTATAAAAAAAAAATCCCCCACTTCCCTGCAGATTTGGGGATCTGGTTTAGAAGAGGAGCTACCCAGCTTGGGTGGGCTTAAAAGGGAGATGGGATAAAGGGGCGCCCGCAATAACGGAGCTTCCACAGGGAGAGGCAGTCTATCTCAGAACCCGGAGGAACGGTCTCCTTCGGATCCATTTAGCTCTGAGCTCCCACTCTGTGCATGCTCAGAGGCGGCGGCCTTTTCAGCCCAGCCCGGGGAGGGGGCATGCACTCCTCCCCCCCCCCGCTCACCGTCACCCCGTACATGACGGCCAGGCCCTGCAGGGTGTCCCCGGGGCGCAGCTGGTGCTCCATCCGCCGTTCGCGCACCGGGGAGCTGACCAGGCTGCCGTAGGAGCGCGCCCGGGTCCCCCGCAGCAGCCCGGCGGCGCCCGGAGACCCCTGCCCGGAGGGGGAGGCCATCCCGCCGCCCGCTGCTGGCTCCGAGGCCGGAGGGAAGCCGCTGCCCCGCCGCCCGCCCGGGCATCTCAGCAGGCGCCCCCCGGCAGGGGCGTCCGGGGCTCCCNCCTCGCCCCCCCCCGCCCGAGATCGCGGCTGCGGCGCTCCGGCAGGCAGTTGAGCAGAAGCCCCGGCTGGCCCCGCCCTCCCGGCCAGCTGATCGCCCGCAAAGGCTGCCGGGAGTTGTGGTCCTGGCACCCCCCTCCCCCCCCGCCTCAAATAACTTTCAATCTTTTCAATATTCCTCGGGAGTCGATCCTGGCTGCTTTCCCATGGAAGTGCCTGCCCCCCCCCTCCCGGCTTTCCCCCCTGAGTTTGGGGTGCAGAGGAGCCCCCGGGGGCGGACTACATGGCCCATGCTCCCCCTCCCGCAAAGGAGCATGGGGGCTGTAGTCGTGGAAGGAAAGGCTCCTCCTTTTTTTTCCCCCTCTAAGGATCCATCCGAATTTAGGAGCGTTTTCTCGTTGCAACGGGAGGGGAGAGGATAATAATTAAGGATAATAATTTCATAATCGTTTATTATTAAAAGGATCGTTTTGCACGGTTTCCAGGCTCGGTTTTTTTTCGCAGCAGGCAAAGCAAACAGAACTTCCCGCGCGGCCTGCTGGGAAATGGAGTCCTTCGCTTGCAAGTCGAGGAAAGGCGGACTGGAGCTCCCCCTGCCGGTCCCCTGCAGGAATCGCGCCCTGATTGGCCGAGCGGGGAAGGGCTCGGATAGCCCGCGGCCTGCTGGGAAATGGAGTCCTTCGCTTGCAAGTCGAGGAAAGGCGGACTGGAGCTCCCCCTGCCGGTCTGCCAGGAATCGCGCCCTGATTGGCGAAGCGGGGAAGGAGGGCTCGGGCAGCCCGCGGCCTGCTGGGAAATGTAGTCGGGGGCTGCGAAGTCCCTGCGGGAAGAGAGCCCGTTCGTCTCCCGGGCGGGGGGCAGCGGCGGGGCGAGCGGTTGGGGCGGGGGGAGCATGTCCTTCAAGCGGGAGGGCGACGACCCCAGCCAGCTCCAGGTGCTCCAGGTGAGGAGGGGGGGTCCTCGGCTGGTGCCCTCCCCCCCCGTCCTTTGCTCGCAGCTCTCTGCACGTGCTCTTCAATGCCCGGGCGGTGCCGGAGCATGTGCAGAGTGCAGACCTACAGGCAGAAGATGGGGATTGTAGCCCAGCACTCAGGAAGGCCACTATTCGGGGGGGGGGGGCGACTAGGCTAAGAGAAGGGGGGCTCGCCCTCTTCCTTTTACCCCCTCCTCCCTCCCTACCCCCCTCCCTCCCCGGAGTAGGACAATAGTTGGGTTCTTGTAAAGATGCCCAGGAGCACTTTCGGGGGTCTCTCTCTCTCTCCCGTGATTCCCCAAGCACGACCCCCCTTTTTCCGCCTTCTTTGCCCCCTGTGCAGAAACGGAGGGTGGCAGAGCTTCTGGCCAATTACATCCCCGAGGACGAAGCCTTCCTGTTGCGCGATGGCAGGTGAGGGCTAGCTGGCTGGCTGGGCTCTGAGTGCGGATCCTAAGCCTGCTCTGTGCGCAAGGTATGGGGTGTGTGTGTGTGTGTGTGTGTGTGTGTGCAAAGACTGTCCCCACTTTGCTCCCTCCCTTTTCTAGGTATTCCTGCACCATCTGCTTCCAAAGGCCCGTTTTTGACACTCTGGACATGCTCACAGTCCATCGTTCTGGAAAGAAACACTTAGCCAGTAAGTCTGCCAGGATCTTCCCGGGCTTCCGCTAATTTCGGTATCACACACACTCAGCACCCCGGGGTAAAGACTTAACCCTCAGTCTGAACTCGGCGGGGCTCTCTGCCAAAAGTCTGTGAGCACGCCCTTGACAAACGGCAGAGAGCTTAGTCCCATTTTACAGACGGGGAAGACTGAGGCCCTGAGATTCTGCTTCCCCCCCCCCCCCAGATGGCTTAAAAAAGACCGGCTGCCGAGCACACTTGTTTGACCCTCTCTGTTCCCAGGTTTGCAGAATTTTTACGGGAAGAAGCGTTCTCTCGAGAACGAGGTTCAGAAGCGTCAGCAGCAGGCGTACCTGGAGGCGGAAGAGAGCGGCACCCAGGTAGATCCGAGCTGCGTTCTGATCCTGGCCAGACAGCCCAGCTGCTTTTTCCCTCATTTCTTTAAAAAAAAAAAGCCCTTATTCTGAAATAAATGCATTAATAATAATAATAATAATAATAATAATAATAATAATAATAATAATAATAAAGTTGGAAGGGACCTTGGAGGTCATCTAGTCCAACCCCCTGCTCAGGCAGGAAACCCTATAACTTGGCAGGTTAAAACCCCCACCAGATTCTGGCTTTCCCTTTTAGGTGGCTCAGCGACCCGCCCCTTTGCTAGCCCAAACGCGGAGGATCACCCAGAATGCCTTGCTGAAAACCGTGCCCTACAGCAGCTGCTGCCGCCCCAAAAGGTGAGAGTCGAGACCCACATCTGGAGAAGGAAGGCCGACAGCTGTTTCTCTGCTTACCAGAAAGGTCGGTTAATATTAAAGGCTGGATCTCTGCGGTTTCTAATCTGGTGCAGGAATCAGGCCGGTGCCAGCACTTCGGGGGCGAATGCTGAGACCACCGGGATGCCCAAACCCTCAAGTTCTGATTCGGTGGACGAAGAACGGCAGGTTGAAGAGGAAGCCAGCCCCGCCGTCCATTCATCCGGCTGCAGACTCGCAACAGCAGGTCAGAAGCCGTTTCGAGAACTTGCGACAGTAATCCCAGGCACAAAATGCACAGAGATGGGCGGTCCGTCTCGCAGGGAACGTAAACGCCAAGAGGCAACCGAGCTGGGAAAGGATCAGAGTTAACCAGGAAAAGGGAACGTGGGAAACGAATCTTGTTTAGGTCCAAGAAGCAGCATTTGTGCGTGAAACTTGGCTTAATCATGGCTTATTGCCTTACAGCCATCCAGAGTGGTTGGATACGAGACGGGCAGCAAATAAATTTCATAATAAATAAACAAACAAACCCCGGTTGGTTGCCTCAGCACAACCACATGCCTTTGCCATCCACAGTGGTGTCACCCACAAACAAAGTCTTTTTATGGCTGTTTTTTCTCGCAGAGCCTCGACAGAGGAAGTTTGTCCGTCAAGGAAAGGGGCGCACTGCACGGAAATCCTCCGAGCCCAACGATCCGGAGAAGCAGCGTGCCTTGGAGCACTATCTGAAGCTGAAAAGGTAACTCCAGGGAAGATCCTGCGAGGATTATGGGTTATTCTGGAGTTTCCTACCTCAGCGCAATTTCTTTCCTGTCTTGCAGTTCGGGGTGGATTCAGGATGGGTCGGGCAAGTGGGTCAAAGACGAGAACGTGGAGTTTGATTCGGACGAGGAGGAGCCCCCGATGCTGCCCCCCGCCCTGATGGCGGACGGAAACCCCCCCACCGGCCGTGCCTTGGAAGCGTGCGAGGGACACCCGGAAATCAGAAATTAAATGACACAACTATCAGAAAATGCACGAGACACTTTGGGCCCGGACATTGTGCCCTTCTTGCATTTAAGGCATCGTTTTTCTACCTTTTGGCTTTTTAGTAGTGCGGTTTTATTCACTTTTATTCCTCTGTGGTTGCAGTTTGCGTTTTGTTTCCATTGGTGCATTTCTGACAATGCATTCTTTAAGTTCGTTGGGAGGTTTCCAAGCAGTCTCTGAGCAAGGCAGCGGCCTGGAGAGAAAAGCCATTAAGACATCTTTTAAAGTAAAATTAAAAATAGAATTTAGGGGAACTGCTGCTCTTCAGCCGGATGGATAAAGAGCTGGGTTTGGCTTCGGGAGCTTGGCTGCTGCTTCTATTTACGTCGCGCGCTGCATTCAGAACCACCAAGACAGGGATCGGATTTTCTATTTTGGAAACTCAAAAGGAACCAATCTCCGTGTTAGATTGATTGTTCCGAGAGAATTTAGATCTGAGAATTTGGAAACTTGGTGCCAGGTTAATGTTGTTAAAACTCCCATTCGTTTTCCTACTCACAGTTTATAATTTGGTGCCTGAATGACCCTGTGGATAGAGCAATTTTAAAAGCAACTTCTTCGTAATCTTCCTTTACTTGTTGTAAAAGCTGTTCCTTGCACGCTCCCTGCAGGCAAGGCTTTGCACCGTCCGTGGGAATTTCAGAGACCTGGGACCCCCTCCTCTTCCTCCTTCTCCCCCTCCTCCTCCTCCTCCTCCTCCAGGAACCATTCCAGGATCTTGTGCAACCCGACCCCAGGGTTCTCCCATTTCGCCTGCCGTGTCTCAAGGACGGCGTGGGGGTGGCACCCAGCACGAGCACCTGCTTGGGATAATTCTCCAGCGTGGCAGCTTCTTCGGCCAGCGGCCAGCCCGTGTCTTCTCTGGTTTCAAGTGGGAATGGCTGCCTTGGGCCACCAGAAGCCCAGCCGGCAGAGACGAAAACCCAAGGCAATTTGCTCCTGTTCTGGGTCTGTCTGTCCTCCCCCCCCAGCCCCCCAACTGCTTTTTATTTCTCTCCCCTCACCCCAAGTTGTTAGCCATTGACTTGACAGGTCTTACCCTCCCCAAATCTGGGAGCCATTTCTTGACCCCGGCCAAGAAATCCGACGATGCTTTTCCTCCGAATGCTTAAACGTTCAATAATCCCTTTTTTTTTTTTTCCATCTCAGAAGGATCTCAGCGTGCCTTTGCTGAGTACTGGAGCACCGAGCCAGTTCCGAATGAAGCCCCTCCCTCTGGTCCAAAGACCCAGGCCCCTTTAGTTAAGGAAAGAAAGGCACTGAGGAGGGGGGAAAGGGGTAGCATCGTTCAGATCGCTTTATTTACAGAGGTATTTGAGAGACGGTGGGGGGGGCCCTTGGAGGTGAAGGGAGGGAAAAACCTGAGTTGGGCACATGGGCCCCAAAATGGCTGTTGGGCTGCTCTGGAGCCGTGGGGAAGATGCCGGAGCTGCGGGAAATACGGATGGTGCCCAGCAATTTATGTCTTTTTCTGTTTGCGTCCTGTCGAAAAGGAAAAAGAGTTGAAAAGCAAGGTGGCTGGGCAAAAGACCCTCCCCCCCCCAATGATCTAGCCCAGGGGTAGGCAACCTTGGCTCTTTTATGACTGGTGGACTTCAACTCCCAGAATTCCTGAGCCAGCATGGCTCAGCTTGGAAACCTCTCCCTTTCTCCTCAGCATGGCTGGCTCAGGAATTCTGGGAGTTGAAGTCCATGAGTCATAAAAGAGCCAAGGTTGCCTACCCCTGATCTAGCCCATCCCTTTCCTTCCTTCCTTCCTTCCTTCCTTCCTCCCTTCCTTCCTTCCTTCCTCCCTTCCTTCCTTCCCTCCCTTCCCTTCCCTTCCCTTCCCGTCCCTTTTCTCTTCCTTGCACCCCATTGTTTCTTCTCCCTCTTTCTCTCTTTCCCCCACTCTCGGCCAACCTACGCAGTTCGTTGTTCCTGGTGATGGCGATGGCGGCCCGGGCCCTCGGGCCTTGCTGTGTGAAGTGGTACCCGAACCGGGTGATGGAGGGGCAGTTCTCCAGCATGGCGGCCATCTCCATCTCCACCGAGTCGCCCAGTCGCTGGCGCTGCGGGAGGGGGGGAGAGGAGAAGTAGTGTGAGGTGGAAACTTGGGTGGGGGGTCTACAATGTAATTGTTCCCCATTTGGGAGAACGCAGGACCCCAAAGTCCGACTTGGTGGCGTCCGACTTCTGAACCGTGTCAACTTTTAAGCTCCCAGCTGGCTGGGGAATTCTGGGAGTTGTAGTCCACCCGCTTAAAGCTGAAGGCCCCTCACCTGGTTGTCCACCTTCAGTTCGGACAAGGTGCCGTTTTTCTTCATGGCTTTGATGACGTCCATCATCCCCGCGCTGGTGATGAAGTTGGACTCAATGTTGAGGCTCTGAAGAGTTTTGTTCTCCTTGAGCATCTCGGCCACCGCCTAGAAAAAGGGGTCGGAGGAGAGCGTCACTGGGGGATTATCGGCCCCCACGGGGAGCCAGACTCCACGGCTTCGGGGTGCCGGTCCCCGGGAGAGGACCTTGGGCACTTACCTGGGCCACCGGATCGTTGCTTCTGGTGGCCACCAAACTGAGCTTCTTCACCTGAGTGTTTGTTTTCATGGCTTCGCAGATCTCCCTCAGTGTCTGGATGGGGATGTCCTGCCCGAGAGAAGAGGGGGGGGGGAAAGTCCACTTCTGTAGAGGGGACACCTCTTTTGCCCTCCCCATCGCTCTTTCCTTTTGCGCCAATTCACCGTGGGGGCCTGCTGCGATTTGACACCCACCTTGATGTTATTCAGGTTCACCTCGTCCAGGCCTCTGTCGTTGCTTCGGATTTTCGCCAGGGTGTCTTCGACATTGGTGGGGTTGGGGGGCTCGTCCGGGACAGGCTTGTATTTGTCCGGCTGGACGACACCTGCGCGGAAGAGGATTGGGGGCAGGGGGTGGGAGAAAGGGGGCTGGGTGACCCTCTTCTCACTTCTTGACCTCAGCCTCCTGACTTTTGGCCGAGGGGCGCTATTGGAAGCCAACCGAGGCTCCTGGCCTGAAGACCACCCTCCTCTGCCCCCCAGGGTGGTCCTCCCCTTGGCTTTTGAGGGGAGCAGGGGATGATGAGCTGTGTAGTGGAGGAGTCAGTGTTCAGCCAAGCAAGACAGTTTCTTGACCCCAGGTGGAATGTGTGTGTGGGGGTGTTCTGGGCTGGAAAATTGAGTAGGGGGATCTATTCGGTCAAATTGGGGAGGGGGATCTTTTGAATCAAGACAAATGGGTGGTCTCCTTGGAGTCAGGAAATCCAGTTCTCTCTGCCTGCCTAAACTGTTAAAGGTGCCTTGTAACAACATGATAGGAAAACCCTAATTTTCCACCAGCCAAAGTGACTCCTCTGGTTCTTTTTTCCCCGCAGCCAAGGCAGGGGAGGGCATGGCTCATCATGAGGGCTAGAAACTTGACGGGAAAGGGCCTCCTCTCCTAAACCCAAACCAAGCTAAGCTTCTCACTGTTGATGCCTTCCGTGTTGCTGATGGTGCCGCTGCAGATGGCATCGTAATATTGCTTGTTGCTCATCAGGGTGTACATGCCCAGGATGGCTGCAAAGAAGGAGAAGTAAAACAAGCCCAGATGGATCCGGGTTCAAAAAAAACAACCCAGGCTTGCTGCAAAATCAGCCGCGATTCTAAAGTGGAGCAGGCGACCGAGAGAGGAGCTGGCAGAGTGCCGGGCAGGGGCTAAAATCAGAAATGCGGCTGCCCTATCAGCTTACACCTGCCGAAGGAGAGGCTTCCTTGCTGAACGGGGATGTGGGGCAGGCTGCTGACAAACCCACCCACCGCCCGCTGCCCTCCTGTTTCTCTGGGCCAGGCAAGGCCTCTTCTCTGCAGAATACGGAGGGATTTCTATCCTGCGGGTCTACGAAGGAGCTGCGCCCCCAAAACCAAAGCTTTTTATTTCTGTGCATTGATCCTAAGCGGGACTGGACGCAGCCCACAACAGGGGCAGTTCACAGCCAACTGCCCCTGGCTGGGGAGGCTCCACGGGACCTTGGATGCAGGTCGCTCTTTGGCGTCTGTGGGCCCTTTTTTACCTGCGATGTCGCACATTTCGGCGTCGGTGGCATTGGCCAAAGCTTCTTCCAGTTCCGGCTCCAAAATCACGTCTTCCTCTTTGACGATTTCTTTCTTGGGAACTTTAGGGATGAAAGGCTTCCCTGCGGAGGGAGAGACGGAAAAGGGTGAAGAACGGAAGAAAAATGCGGGTGCAAATAAATTGAAGTCAGATGTCTTTTCCTTCCTTCCTTCCTTCCTTCCTTCCTTCCTTCCTTCCTTCCTTCCTTCCTTCCTTCCTTCCTTCCTTCCTTCCTTCCTTCCTTCCCATCTATCAGCCGTGCAACATTACCCCCTCAGTTCCCCCCTCTATTGAACATTAACATTGTACAGATTCCCAGCAATTCGGTGACAATCCACTGTCTGGAATCGATCCCTCTCTAATGTCCCTGAAACGGCCTTCATTCACGCCGGCAATTTGGGCACAGAGAGGAAGTTCCAGATTTATTAATAGTAGTCAGACGTTGGACGATTCAGTTATGGATGGATGGAAGGAAGGAAGGAAGGAAGGAAGGAAGGAAGGAAGGAAGGAAGAGGTGCCTTTGGCTTAAATGCGGGGACACCAGCACAGATCCCGTCCGATCTGCTTGAAACAAAAGTCCTTTCTGAGCTCCCAAGAGCAGGAAAGAAAAATATTTAATATTTCAGTGACTTGCGTCAAGGAAATGGGATGAGAAAGGTTGCAACGGGCTCTGATTTGGTAGGGAACTAATTTTCTTTTTTAAACAACGAATGAGGGGTCGGTGGTGGTCTCTGAGCTTGGTTGTTTTCTTGCAGATGTTTCATGACCCAATTAGGAAACTTCATCAGTGCTAGAAGGAGCATTTGCAGCAAACCCCACTAGCACTGATGATGTTACCTAGTTGGGTCATGAAACGTCTCCAAGAAAACAACCAAGCTCAGAGACCACCGACGACCCCTCATTTCAACCTTTAGCTACAAATATTCTCTGTTATTGGTAAACAAGGAATGCAGGAAAGTCCCCCCCCCCAAAAAAGAATAGGAAAATCTTAGTTTGGGTCCAAGGGATGGACTCCAGACAGAATAGAGGCACGGATGGCAAAGCGGGATGCAGTAAAAATTTCCCCCTTGGTTTTTCTGCTCTGGTGGCTCTCCCCCTCTCCCTCTGGGGCCTGAAACCCCCTGGGGAGGGAAGGAGGGACCCCCAGGCTTCTTCTGAGCGCTGCCGGCATGGACACTGGAGCCCAGGTGGGCAGCCCTGCCCTTACCTTTCTTCTCCCCCGTGAAGGGCACCAGGTCTTCCCTCTCCTTCACCTCCATCGCCTGCTTCTCCAGGTGCTGCATCAGGGCATCGCGGTCCAGGGGCCCCGTGGGGTCCTTCTTCGTCTGGTCCCGTTGCCGAAGCCCAGCCGGGAGCATCATGTTCTGGGAAGCAGAGCAGAAATTGGGGTGCGGGGAGACGGCGACAGCAAAATCTCCTTCCACGCCAGGTGAAAACCCCACTGGTGGAGCACGGGGCACGCACCTCAGTGGGCCTTGGCACAGGAGTCTAAACAGGGCCCAACATGCTTAAAATGGGGGGGGGGCAGGATCACCTGAAGGGGGGCAGAGTGATGGGTTTTGTGTTAGGGATTGTTAATCTGTCGAGCTGGCTGTGAGCCGGGCAGCCCTAACAATGTGTGGAGTGAATGAACGCTTTTTATTTTATTTTATTTTATTTATAAAATTGGTCCCCCGTCTTACCATAGGGCAAGTTACAACTCCGTAAGTCACAACTTTATTGCTCTGAAGACGGCACAATTTGGCTATTTAAATGCCCGCTTCCCGCTCTCACAACGGAAGAGGCTCCGTCTCTAATCCTCTGATTTGGGGACTTTTGGAACGGGATCCAGAGCTTGCGAGGGTCCTCCTCCCCCGCCCCTGATCTCACTTCTGGATCCATTTCCTGCAGCTCCAGGTCCAGCTGATCCAGCTCCTCCGGGGAGAGTTCCTTGAGCAGTTGGTCTTCATCAATATCTCGGTATTTCTCCAGCTCTTGTCGGTAGGAAGTCGTCATGGCGAGCGTGGCCAAGAGGCCGGTGGCGGACGGTCTCCCCTGCGAGAAAAACCCAGCCAGGCCCGGGAAGAGCTACAGTTTACAGGAAGCCCAAAGAACTGGCTGCAAACCTGCTTACGGAGCAACAGGGGGCACTATTAGTGGATGGGTCAGCGGAACTCCCTGCCTCATGATTGTCGGAAAGCTCTTATCATCCTAATCACAAGTGCTTCCTGGAATTTGGGGATGAACCTGGCACCAGGGCCTTTTTATGCCGTCCTTTGCAGAGTCCCCGCTTGTTTCAAGGATCTGGGCCAAGGAATCAAGGCGAAGAAGCCTCCAGAGTTTTCTCAGCCGCTGAGCTGGCTGGAAACAGTCTTGGCCTTTGGGGCTGGCCAGCTGCCGATGGCGCGGAGGAAGGAGAAGGGTGTTGACTGAGCTATGGGGCCAGCTGACTCTGCTGCCACCCGCTTTACGACCCGCTGGGGATCCATTTCCCCCCAGGACCTCCTTTTATGTCTTGAGAAATGCACGGTGGGCAGTGATTATAGCCAAAACTCCCCGCACATGGAAATCTAAGCTGTCAGAAATAAGTCTCCACTTTCCCAGGTGCTGCAGTCAGATCTGAGGTGGCCGCTGACCAGAGGGGACGAGCCTCAACTGGAGTGCCCCCTCCCCACCTTTTTAGGCACCCACAACTCTTTTCCAACTCCCTCTCCCCCGAGTTGTGAGGTCACAAACCACTTCATCGTGTGTGTGTGTGTCTGTCGGCTGGTTTGCTGGTCAATCTGTCACAACTAAGGGATCAATATTCAGTTGATCCCAAAGAGCGGAGCCTACGCAACGTTAAATGGTAGGAGGAAAAAAAAAACCCACCCACCCAACTAAAAGCGCGTCTTTGCCACTGGAGAAATGAGTTTAGCAGATGTCCAGCTCAGACCTTCCCCCCTCCTCCCTTTTCTTCACATTTCGCAGCGGCCAGCAGGTAGAAATTTGAGCCGGAGGGTTGAACTTCTGCCTTGGCCGCTGGTGACCTGCAAGAAGCCGGTGTGGTGGGACTCACCCCATTTTTTCTCTGGCGATGGGGGGGGGGGGGGGGGGGGGGAAAGAGATCCCCA